GTGGTGACAGTGGAAGGTGGGCTTTATGAGCATTATCGTATTTTCAGAAACTATCTTCATAGTAGTGTCTGGGAAATGCTTGGCAATGATCTCTCAGACAATGTCATCGTTGAACATTCCCATGGTGGCTCTGGAACTGGAGCTTTGTTCCTTGCTGCTGCTCACACTTACGCACATCATGGGGATTCTTGACCCCTCTATATCTTTTAATTTCTATTCTTTTTGGCTTGCTTTTTTTTAACAACAAATATACATCATCATGCTTGGACTCCACAATGGGATTCATTGTTACTGTATCGGTTTAGCCTCTATTCAACACACAAAAAAGAAAGACGTGGAAATGTTAATAAAGAGCAACGATTTGCATTGAATTGTAAAGAGAGCGTAATTTGGTTGTTGTTCTTGCTATATATATGTTGGAGTCATTGTTAACAACTTGAGAAGGACTTGACCCATTTGAGACAAATCTTCCTTAATGTATGTGCCACGTTTCTTCATAGTACCCTCATTTCTGATTGATTGATTTATTTGAAACGAATATGCACAAGTGAATCCAAGATGATCCTATTGACACAGATGGATTATTAAGGGGAAGTTTCTCCTGTTCCTTTAAAAATTGAATTATTTTAATATTTTTTTTACAATTAAAATAAGTATGTGTTAATTAATGATGTCACATCAGTTTTTAAATATTTATATTATTAATTTTAAATTTTTTATCAATTATTCTTTTTAAAAAAAATAATTATTATTATTAGTTTTCAAACCCTTGGATTATTATGACGGTGCAGTTTTAAGATCGGAGAAATAAAACTTTACATTTCTTCACGGCGGAGGATCGGAAAGTGTAGAAACAACTAAGGAGTTCATTGTTACCGCTAATACACGGAGAACTTCGTGTATATATCCAACTTAATAGAACTTCATTTTCCCTGACAATGCAAATCCCCAAAACTTAAGAAAAAAAATCAATCACTACCTTGAAAAAGCATCATAAATAGAGAATTTCATATGTACGGTGTTGCAAAATAAAAGAATTTGAGGCAAATGTAACTACTCTAGTGTTCTTGAAAGAGATGTAAAAATCCGTAATATCAAAAAAATTGATAATTTTTTGATTCTCTGAAAGGTTCAAGGTTGTAGATGTGGATGGATGCAAATGATATTGTGAGGGATGATATATATATTTCTCGTTAATGTCATTCCTATTCTTGTTCAAACTATTCCAAATCTCTCTAAACTTAAAACTAAAAATTAACTTAATAAATTAGAAACTAAATTGAAAATATAATAGTTTTAGTATTAAAATGTAAAGTGATGATATGACTCAAAATCAATAACATGGCATACATTTGATCGGTTGTACCAAAATCTCCCAAATATTATTGGGTACTATAGAATTTCTCTAATTAAGGTATCTAATGTAGATGGTATGTGGGTGAAAGGGATCCCAATGATGGTTAATACTATGTGAACCGACCAAATTCATTGATCCAATAAGGAGAGAGTACACCTTATGTTTAGGCTACCTAAACCCAATGTTTGAATTATATTTTCGGATTAATACTTAAAACGTCACCCTTAATCCACCTTCGTGTCCTACGTCAATAAATCAATAAATGGTGTTTATTTAAAAGATAAACAGCTCTTAAAAAGTGGCTTCTATTATAATAATGTCTATTAATATAAAGCACTTCTAAAAAATGTTATATATGTATATGAAGATAAAAAAATACTTTCTTTGAATTGTGTTCTATATATGTAAGTATTTACGTTGAACTCTTTCGAAATAGTACTCTTTATTTATAAATGTATAGACAACACTTTATCTTAAAGTGTTGCCTTTGTTTTATCTTATAAAAAGCGCCCTATAAAGGAAATGTTTTCTATATTTTAATTAATAGATAGTGTTTCCTTATATAAGTGTCATCTTTATGTTTAATTTTTTTAACAATTTTTCTACATCGATCATTCACATTTGTTGATCCTACTATGCATGCAAAAACAATTCCAAGATATAGAACTATACCAATCAATCAAGAATGTAGTCAAATGTGATTAAAAATGGTATGATGTATACATTAAACAAGTGGTAGTAAAACCAAAAGATTATAATGTATATAAACCTAACATACTACATGTTTACTGCACTTATAATTACATATCTAAACACAATCAACGTTTCTCCAATACCATGCAACTTCTAGTCTTAGACTCAAATAAAAAATTAAAAAAAAAGGAAATGTATATAGACCTAGCATATTACATTTAGTTTGTTGTTATTAACTTGATAATTACATATAATCAATGTTTGTTCAATATCATGTAGCTTACGATCTTAAGAATATTCCATGGTCCATTTGTATTGCAAAGAAAAGAAGAATTATTAATCATCAACTAGTTTTAATATAAAAGAAAATGTATAAATATTTAAAAAATCAACATAAAAGAAAAGTGGTACAGCCTAAAAATGTTATAGCACAACATACTAGTCTAATAACATTTTTTTAATGACATACAAACACCAATCTTTTCTAACATCCATGAAGACAATGATAATCATGATACTTTAAATACCTGTTGATACTAAAGGATCCAGGAGAACATGACAATCATGAGACTTTAACCCCTTTAGCTTTAAATCATTCATAGATACTAGGTTCCTTAGATTTGAAGAATATCCCTCTGAAACTTTAACTCTTTCTAGAAACTTACGAAAAAGAATTTTTCATTTCTAGATAGAGTTTGAGTTGATTGAGGTAGATTAACATTTTCCCTTCTTTATCAATCCCAATTCTATTTTAATTCCCATATTGAAAAAGTTTAGCCTTGAATTGATGTCATTCTTAGACTTTCTTGGCACATTCAGTAGTGTATCAACCACACTATCACAGACATTTTTTTCAATATGCATCACATCAAGAAAATGTCTTACATACAAAGATTTCCAATATGGAAAATCAAAATAAAATTGACCTTTTTTTCACCCACTTGTAACTAGATCTCTTGCAAAAGGTTTACCAAATTTATTGGTTATATCTTTAACCTTTTCAAAATCCTTATCACCATAATACAACTTTGGGGTTTTGCCTTCTTCTCATTTCCTATTAAACATTTTTCTCCATCCTCGATAATGATGTTTTGAAGCTAAGAACCTACGAAGGCCAAGAAATATATTTTTCTTACCATGGCCTAACTACATCCAATTTGTATTATCCTTACATATAGGGCATGTGCATTTTCCTTGTAGTACACCATGCTCGACATCACAAAATTCACATCCAGCGTTATTTAGGTAGAGAGTCTTTGCCTTATTCATACTTGACACCACAAAACTTGCACTCAACATCGTTTGAGCAAAGTGTCGATGACCTGATCACGCCCAGTGCCACTCAGCTTAGGCCTAACATCACCAAGTCAAAGAACTCCAAAGGCAATGACGTTCGATGTCCCTCAACCCACATCTAACGTGGCCAAGACAGAGAACTCCTCTCTAACTCACACCCAACATTACCAATCTTATGCTTAGCATTAATGAGGCAAAGAGCCTTTAACATGCATCATGTCTACCACCATGAAGTTGCGCTCAATGCGATGGTAATTTATTCACTTGGCAAAATCACGATTTGGCTCTTAACCCTACAATAGCTCTCATCTAAACCAACAAGCAATATACCAAGCAGCATATGTGCACTACTAATAACTCAAATACAACTAAAATCTCAACATACAACCCATGAAATTCAAGATCTCCAATTTTCCTTCTCTTTTCTACAAAAGCAACCAAAAACCACGTAACAAGAAACATAAGTTCCTCAATTCATCAACATAACCAATCATCTACGAAATCAACAACAATTCATCACATACAACATAACAATAATTACTCTACAAGTTTCTTGTACCTCAAATCAACAAGAAAGAGGTAGAAAAAGGTAAGAAAAGGTTACTTTGAGCTTCTTACACGGCACAACCAACACTTTGATCCTCAACTTCCAAAGCTTCGAATCTAAACTCAGCTACTCAACCACACTCCAGGGGAAGGATCTAGAACACTCGTAGAATTAGAAGAAGAAGAAAAAGGTTTCTCTAACACTAAAGCTCCTCTCTCTAACTGTCTTAAAAAAATAAATTTATGAAGTTCAAATTTTAAGAAAAATCTTATATATCTTCTCCTAAACTTGGTCAACTTTGACTAATCAACTCAAAACAACTTCTAACCAACTAAACTTATAAGAATTCTTTAATCCTTAGAATTTTATAATAATTAAACAACTAATCACATAATCATATAAATTAATAAAATCAATAAACAGCAATAAAATTTCACAATATTACACATTGAGACAACTTTGCATCAACAACTAAGTTTAATGTGATATTTTTATTAACAAAAATAATAGTAGATGAATTTTGTACGACGATATTTGATAAATTTACTAATGACATTTGATTAAAGAAAACTAAAATAATATTTTTTTAAATTAAAAAAAATGATATAAAAAATAACTTTCAATTTAAATGACCAAAAATAAATTTATCCCATATTTAAAGAACTAAAAATATATTTAATTTTTTTCACTTTCATCTTAAATCTTGCGTCCATATATTCTTGAAAGATAAAATAAGATTTTACTCCTAATTTTAAAATTATAATTTACTATTACAAATTTTAACGTCTCCTTTTTACGAAATATAATCTTTAAAAATTCAGGACGAGATCATGTTAAAGAAAAACTTTTTTCTTACTCGTCTTATTATCAATTAGGCATTACTATAATTTCTCTTATTACATGCGACTTTTCCTGCGAATTTTTATGAAAAATTCGCAGGAAACGTTGTTCCTACAAATTTTTCTGTGAAATTTTATCTGCAAGTAATACCTTTGTGGATAATATATTTTTGCGAATTTTAAAATTCGCAGGAAATTTTCCTGCGAAATTTCTTGCGAAAAAAATTTGCAAGAAAGTTTCCTGCAAAAAAAATTTACAGGAAAGTTTCCTACAAAAAAAATTCGCAGGAAAATTCGTAGGAAAGTTTAATATTTTTTACGAAAAAAAATTAAAGAAATTACTATAAATTCTATCAATAATTCTGCAACTTTCAAATGCTCACAATGAATTCATTCGAAGCATTTGTTTTCATGTCTCCAACATGTGATACATAATCTTTTAAATTCTAAGATTGCAGATTATAAGCCTAACACTCAATCATACAAATCAATTTGTAAGGTAAGTATTGCTCCAACTTATATAATCTTTAATTGTTTTATTTTCAATCGATGTGGGACTTGAAGTTTTTTTAAAATATTAAACTTATAAATTTAAATATTTTTTATTTTTCTTG